CGGAATGGCTGCGCGCAAACGCCGCGGTGCGACGGGTCTGCCATAGCGGGCACGCCTTCAGCCGGTGCTCGAGGTCCCCCACCGCGTCTACTCTTACTCATGCTGCTACTGCTACGTTTCCATGTTCTTCATCGCCCTTATGCTCGCACCCCTGCTCCCCTTCATCATAACATCCCTCACGTTCTTCTCCGCTATCGTCCTTCATTTCTTCATCGCTCCCGTCCTTGTATTATTCTCTGTGTCCTTCTTCCGTTTCTGATTCCCGTCATCATAGATCCCTCTTCGCGCGTATCCCCGCGTCGTCCATCCGTTTCCATTCTTCCCCACTTATGCTTCGTCCTCTGATCGTTCCCCGCTTATCCATCATATTCCCTTCGCCAGTTCTTGGTGTGTCTTTCTATCTCTCTCTCTCTCTATGTGGCGTTTATGTGTTGGTCGTTTCACTCTCTCTCACTCCATGTATGTATATATATATATATATATGTATCCCCACCTCTCTCTCCCTCTCTAAATGCAAACGGCGATGCACCGCGCAGGGGAAGCCCAAAACTTGCGAGCCATCGCGCACACACGGGGGGCCACAGGACCCTGTGATTTCAGTTTGGTACGTGAGTTCATGGGGTGCGAATCCCAACAACCATGTGATTTGACTGGGATGTTTGAGATTCCGGGTATCTCTTTGGATCTGAATCCTAGAGGCTCAAAGGTATCTTTTGTTCAGAGGGGGGATGGGAAATCCCAGGAACTCCAAACACCCCCGTGAAATCATATTGTTTCTGGAATACCCCCCCCCCCCCCCCCAGATATCCCAAACATCCAATTGACATCGCACGGTGTGGGCTTCCGTGACGTCGCGGACCATGTGAATTCACTGGGATGCTTGGCATTTGGAGATCTGTGGGGCTCGAGGGTATATGTTTGTTCCGAAGCATCCCAAGGAAATGGCTCCGAGGATTAGCACCACAGAAATCCCAAACGTTCCGGATTCACCTGGACGCCTGGCATTCGGAGCCCGGGGGGGCTCCAGGGTAGCTTTTTGTCGGAGGGGGGGAATCGAAGGATCCATCCATGTGCGATTCCATCATTGAGTTGCTTGGGCCGGGCTGGGGCCATCTCTGGCTTGGGAGTCCTTCGTGAACCCAGAGGGTCTGTCCTACTGCGCCCGGGCCCGTCGCCCCCCGCGGGCCAGGCTGCTGAATCCTCAGAAGAATCGGCATCGGATCGTCGCGCATCGGCACCAGCTTCTTAGAGCGAGCGCACAATGTCAAAGGTGAAGCGAGAACTGCCATGGACGACCTGGATTGTTCAACGATGTACTTTCTGATTCGCAAGAGGGGGGCCCTTGGAAGAAGCCGTTATCATGCTGGGCAGCACGCGTCCGCTGGTACATTGCCACGCTGGGCTTCAAAAACACTTTCGATCGACAAATACCTTCAATGGTTTGTTAGCTGTGCCGGCGCAGTCGCCTGGAGGTTCTGAAACGCAGTGCGCTCATCGATGCACATTCGCGCTCGTGCATGTTCGCGCAAGCGTTTCCCTTCAGAGCCCATTGAAGGAGGCGAGTGGCACGCAGGCAAAAAAATAGGCTGAGGGGCACCTCCCCAAAGTAATGCTGGTCCTGCTTGCTGCCCAGGTATGTGGCGCATTGGAGCCGAGGACTGAACAGGAGACCGGGCATCTAAAAGACGTATGCACACTTCTTCTAGGGGCCCAGCAGCAAGGCGCGGAGACGACCGAGGGGGGGGGGGGAAAGGGGAAGGGAGGAAAGGCAAATCACGGCGGCCGCGCCGCCGCCCCCAGAGCGGCTCCAGGGGCAAGCTTCCCGGCTCAGTCTGGGGGGCCCAGCCGCGCTTACAGCCGAGCGCGCAGCGCCGCCCGCGCGGCCGCCGGCGCGCGCCGCTGGCAGCGGCGGCAGCGACATGGCCGCCAGCGGCGGCAGCGCTGGGGCCCACCTGCCGCATGGCCTGCTGGCGAGCACCGACCAGCGCGGCGCCCAACAACCGCGACGCACACACGCCGCCCACGCGGGGCCCTGCGCCGCCCCGTGCGGCAGCCAGGCGGCGCCCGCGGGAAGCGCTCTCGCCGCGGCCGCCTGCCCCCCAGCGCGGGGGCGCGCGGGAGGTGCCGCGGCTGCAGGCTGCCCCGGCCGCGCCCACGCTGGCGCGCCACAGCGGCGGCGCCGCAGCTGCGGCGCCGCAGCGGCGGCGACCGCCGCCGCGTCGCTGCCCAGCGTCGCCGCGCCTATGCCGACGCTGCCGTGGTTGGCCTTCAAGGCGGCCAGTTCCACGGCGGCCGCCGCGCGCTGGACCGCCGCGAGCGCCTTCAGCTGCCGCGCGCGCTGCTGGAGAAAAGCCGGCGGTGGGAGCCTGTGTTTCGCGCCAGCGCCAGCCAGCGAGTTCGCCGCGTCGTTCCCAGTCCAGCCCTCCGCCGAGATGCCCCGATCGGCAGCCTCCGCCCTGGTCGAATGGGCTTTCACCCAGCGGGCCCGCAATAGCCCCGCCCGGCAATGCGGCGCGACCGCCTCCCGCAGCTCGGCACGCTGCCAACTCGTCGGGTTCGCGTCGCAGCGCAACGCGGCCACCCCGCGCGCGACGAATCGCGAGTCTGTGACGACCCCCACAGGCGCCCCAGCCATGCTGCACGCGTGCACGGCGGCCCACAGCTCTGGCGGCCGCCCACGGGGCCGCGGCGATCAAAACGTCTGCTGGGGAAGCCCCCGAAACGCGCGCCCCAATCAACCGGCCTGGGCGAGCAGCGGGTCGGCTGGGTGCAGGCGCGAGCTGTCGGCCCAGGCGCGGACTCTCCCCTGCGGCAGCTCCGGCGCGGCGGGATCTGGCAGCGGCGGCAGCTGACGCGCCCCCTGGGCGTCGCACACCAATGCTGCCAGGTGGGCGTCCACGGGCAACACCGCCGTGCGCGCGACCTCGGCTGGCAGGCAGGTTCGGGCGGCTGCCGGAATGGCTGCGCGCAAACGCCGCGGTGCGACGGGTCTGCCATAGCGGGCACGCCTTCAGCCGGTGCTCGAGGTCCCCCACCGCGGCGACGCAGTGGGGGCAAGCCTGCGTCTGTGCACGCTTCAACTGCTTCAGCGAAAATGAATAAACACGCGTGAGCTGCTTAGCCCTGGTGTCCCAGCCCCATCGCTCCAGGCAGATCATAGCTCCCACTTTGAGACCGACAGACGCAAAGAGTTCGACATAGGGAATCCCATCAGTAGAGCACTATAGCTAGACAAGCGCAATGTTGCAATCAAGTCGCGGGTGCTCAATCGGGCAAACTGTACAATATGTTGTTGTCAAAATTTGGAGGGTGTATTGAATTAGTTGTGCAGGTTTTCAAATGTGAAATGCTTGAACGGAGGCTCCAAGAAACGGTTCTTGGTGCTCCAGTGGGGGCGAGGCTAATTGGGCCCCCCCCCTCCTGGATCGACGCAATCCAAGATGCCCCCCCAAATTCATGAAATGCCCTCCCCTGGGCTATGCGCTGTGCGACCGCGCTACCATTAAGTGGCATATGATGGGAGCTTCGCTTGTCGAACTTAGCGTCGCCTGCGCCCCCCACACGAGTGCAATTTAGCGCAATTTAGTGGCGTTTAGTGTGGCGCGGCGGGAGGCGCTAGTGCAATTTAATGCAATTTAGTGGCGCGTAATGCAATTTGGTGGCGCTCGATGCAATTTAATGCAATTTAGTGCAAGTTAGTGGCGTTTGGCGCGCCCCACACTAATGCAATTTAGCGGAATTTAGTGGCGTTTAGTGTGGCGCGGCGGGAGACGGTAGTGCAATTTAGCACAATTTAGTGTAATTTAGTTGCGTCGAGTGCAATTTCGTGGCGTTTAATGCAATTTAGTGCAATCTAGTGCAACGTAGTGCAATTCAGTGCAAGTTAGTGACGTTCAGTGCGCCCCACACTAATGCAATTTAGTGCAATTCAGTTGCGTTAAACAGAATTTAGTGCAATGTAGTTCGCCTGCGGGAGGGACAGGAAGAAAGGAAATTTGAAAAAGGTTGCGGCCGATCTTAGGAATCTGGCATTGCTCGCACAATTGCGATGCTGCGCGCGCGCGCACCGACCGGCGTGCACGAGCAACGCTACGCAACGCTAAACAACACGAATACACACTAAACGTTCACGAAGCAGGAAGCAAGACACCATTGGGTGAAAAAGAAAGCTCCCATCATTTGCCACCTAACTACCACCGCCGAAGTGACAAAATCAGCGAGCATCGAATCGGAAACCCGGATCGAATCGGAATGTAAGTCGGATCGGGCTGCACCGGCACGGAGTCGACCGGCTGGAAGAAACATCGGACGCAAATCGGATCGGGCCAGCCAGAATCGGCACGCATCGAATCGGATCGATCGGATCGACATGAAAACCCGGATTGGCGGCGAGTCTGGGGGGGAAGTGAAAAGGAGAAGGCCTTCTCAGAAAGCTCGGAAGCCGCCGGCCTTCTGATAAGTGTCCTTCATCCTCCCCGAAGACACGGAGAATTTCTCAGAGGGCGCGACGGCTTCTGAAAAGCCGCGCCGCCTTCTGACAGGGCTCTCCCACTTCCCCCCACCTCGCTCCCCGCCGACAGAGGGAGGGACGCGCTCGCGTGACAGCGCGCGTGGTGGCCAGCGAGTTTCTGAAAAGCCCCGCCACCATTTGATAACGCCCTCTTCATCTCACCTACCGCCCCCCATCGCTCCCCGCCGTTCTTCGGGAGGGGCAAACTCAAAAATTCAAATTAACGTCGATTCCCAGGAAAACATGCGAACGTCAAGGGGATCCGGGTACTGTGTCTGTTTAGGTGTGCGCGTCCATTGGCCCCTGGGGTTCCGCCCATCACGGCGGAGGAGGAGGAGGTTGAGGAGAAGGAGGAGGGCGAGGAGGAGGAGGACGAGGAGGAGGAGGAGAAAGAGGATGAGGGCGAGGAGGAGCAGGAAGAGGAAGAAGAGGAGGAGGAGAGGGGGGAGGGAGCAGGAGGAGGAGGACGAGGAACCGCTCGCGGCCCCGCCTGCTGCAGGGCCTCCCGCGCTCCATCCAGAAAGGCCCCCCGCGCGGCCATCAGGCCCCCGCCTGCGGCAGCGGCGGCGGCAAAAGAGGGCGCGAGGGTCGGCGCGGGCGAGGACACACACACACAAACACGCACACACACAAACACACGCACGCACGCACGCACGCACGCACGCACGCACGCACGCACGCACGCACACACACACACACACACACACACACACACACACACACACACACGCACACGCACGCACGCACGCACGCACGCACGCACACACACACACACACACACACACACACACACACACACACACACACACACACACACACGCGCAAACACATACACATATATACACACCTACACCCACACCCACACCAACACCCACACCCACCCCATTCACACACACACACACTCACATGCACGCGCACACACACACACACACACACGTTCACACACAAACGCACACACATACGTGTGTGTGTGTGTGTGTGTGTGTGTGTGCGGGTGTGTGTGTGTGCGGGTGTGTGTGTGTGTGTGCGGGTGTGTGTGTGTGTGCGTGTGTGCGTGTGTGTGGCGCCGGCGGCGAGGCAGGGGTCGCCTGCGCTAGCAGGATGGCCTCAACGGGGGAGCCGTTAGAGCGAGTTGTGCCACCATGCAAGGGGAGGAACAGAAGGAAGACGCCGCCGAAAGAGGGGCGGAAGTACCCAGCAGCGAGCCGCTCAGGGGGACGGGTGACGCCCCGAGCTCGTGGCGCGGCCAGCCCCGACCAGGACAAATGTTGGATGAAGATAAATCGAATATCTCTGAGATCTGGCATCTCTGGAGGATGTATCTGGCGCCCCGCCCGTCTCAGAGCATAACGCTCTGGAACGGATTTATCCTCGTCCGAGCCCCGTCCGAACACACGTACACACAATCACACCACACACATACATATATACATATATATATATATATGCGAATATATATACATATATATATATATAGATGCGTATGAATATATATATATATATATATATATATCAGTATATATATATAGAGAGATATTCATATGTCTGGGTATATATACATATATTCATATATTCATATATATATATATACATATATATATATATTGTGTATATACGAATATATAATTCGCCGGGGAGGGGAAAAGGGGGGAGGAGGGGGAGAGGACAAAGGATGAGACGGGAGCGGAGCGGACCGCAGCGGGGGCGGATGGGGGCGAGGAGGGGAGGCACAGCGGTGCGCGAAAACGTCTGAGCTGGAGGGGGCTGGGTCACCCAACGTCGCGCAGCGCGCCGCGCGATGCGCGACCATCTCCACGCCACGGCAACCTCGCGCCGCCGCCCTGGGGATGCGAAAACCAACCCCCGCCCCCAGTCCCGACCCCACCACCGGGCCAGCGATCCGGAATGTCGGGGCTGGGGGCAGGGGTTGTTGTTCGAGGTCCAGCGGTCCAGACAACACCCCCACCCCTAGTCCCGAGCCCCTGGATCGCTGGCTCGGGGCCCAGACATGCGACATCCTGATTTTCCCAACCCTCATATGGTTGGGCACTCGTTTTGAATAGAGCAGAGCGGTCGCCTCGTCCTCCTTCCTCTCCTCCCCCCTCCTCCCCTCCTCCTCTCATGTCTCCTGTGTTCACCTCTCCTCTTCTCTCGTGCCGTCGGGTTTGCGATCTGCGCAACTGTCGCCACTTTCGTGGGCTCCTGGGAGGCCCAGCGGAGGTGGGTCCCACGCGGATCACCTCGGTAGCTCGCCGCCCCCTGGGGGGCTTGCGATCTGCGCAATTGCCGCCACTTTCGTGGGCTCCTGGGAGGCCCAGCGGAGTTGGGTCCCACGCGGATCACCTCGGTAGCTCGCCGCCCCCTGGGGGGCTTGCGATCTGCGCAACCGTCGCCACTTTCGTGGGCTCCTGGGAGGCGCAGCGGAGGTGGGTCCCACGCGGATCACCTCGGTAGTTCGCTACCCCCTGGGGGGCTTGCGATCTGCGCAACTGTCGCCACTTTCGTGGGCTCCTGGGAGGCCCAGCGGTCCCACGCGGATCACCTCGGTAGCTCGCCGCCCCCTGGGGGGCTTGCGATCTGCGCAACCGTCGCCACTGTCGTGGGCTCCTGGGAGGCGCAGCGGAGGTGGGTCCCACGCGGATCACCTCGGTAGCTCGCCGCCCCCTGGGGGGCTTGCGATCTGCGCAACCGTCGCCACTTTCGTGGGCTCCTGGGAGGCCCAGTGGAGGCGGGTCCCGCGCGGACAGCCTCGAGACCTCGCCGCCCCCTGGGGGGCTTGCGATCTGCGCAACCGTTGCCACTTTCGTGGGCTCCTGGGAGGCCCAGCGGAGGTGGGTCCAACGCGGACCACCTTGGGACTCGCCGCCCCCATGGGGGTCTTGCGATCTGCGCAACGGTCGCCACTTTCGTAGGCTCCTGGGAGGCCCAGCGGAGGTACGTTCCACGCGGACCACCTCGAGACCTCGCGGCGCCATGGGGGGCTGCGATCTGCGCAAGTGTCGCCACTTTCGTGGGCTCCTGGGAGGTCCAGCGGAGGTACGTTCCACGCGGACCACCTCGAGACCTCGCGGCGCCATGGGGGGCTGCGATCTGCGCAACCGTCGCCACTTTCGTGGGCTCCTGGGAGGCCCAGCGGAGGTACGTCCCACGCGGACCACCTCGAGACCTCGCGGCGCCCTGGGGGGCTTGCGATCTGCGCAACGGTCGCCACTTTCGTGGGCTCCTGGGAGGCCCAGCGGAGGTGGGTCCAACGCGGACCACCTTGGGACCTCGCCGCCCCCATGGGGGTCTTGCGATCTGCGCAACGGTCGCCACTTTCGTGGGCTCCTGGGAGGCGCAGCGGAGGTGGGTCCCACGCGGATCACCTCGGTAGCTCGCAGGGTAATTTCAGTACGGCGTCCCCAGAGGTCCAGACCCTTTCCCCGGGGCCGGCTTTTCATCCCCCGAGTCGCTCTTTGACGGCCCCGGGGCCCGGCGCGGGCCCCAAGGGGCCGAACATTGTGAAAGAAACCTCCGTCCTGAATTCTTTGCGACGCGCGATCATGTCCGGGGGGTGCAAGTCGGGACTGGTGGCGGCGGTGGGGTGTGCCGCCTTCGCTGAGCGGCCCCCCCTGGTCCAGACCACGGCGCGCGAGAGGCGCGAGTCTCTCTGGCGACCAGGGGATCGGCGGCGCGCCCACTGGGGGGGGGGGCCCTCCTCCTCCTCGTCCTCCTCCTCGTCCTCCTCCCACTCCTCCTCCCTCCTCCTCCTCCTCCTCCTCCTCCTCCTCCTCCTCCTCCTCCTCCTCCTCCTCCTCCTCCTCCCCTCCTCCTCCTCCTCCTCCTCCTCCTCCTCCTCACTCCCCTCCTTCTCCTCCTCCTCCTCCTCCTCCTCCTCCTCCTCCTCCTCCTCCTCCGTCTCCCTCCTGCTCCCCATCCGCATCATCAGTAGCAGAATCAGCAGCAACATGAATCATTGATAGATGTAAGACGGATCGCTCTCCGTTGCTCCCGCGAGGCCTTCTCATAGGGCTCGGAAGGCCTCGGGCTTTTTGTAAACGAGCGCGTTCCACGACTTGCAGAGTAGCTAAGTACTCGCAAGGGGCCTGGATCCGCTGCAGTGGTTTCACGATAGATTACACCAAGGCAGACGTATGGATTTCCGGACGTTTGCCAGTAGGGACCATGCGAGCAGCGGGACGCGCTCGGTGATTTTGAAAAAAATGCTGAGCCTTCCCTGACGGCATGGAAAACTTCGCAGAAGGCCGGAGGGCGTCTGAGAAGCCCCGCCGCCTTCTGAGCAGGCCCCCTCCTCCTCACCTCCTCCCACCACCGCCCCCAGCCGTCCGAGGGAGGGACGCGCTCGTGTGACAGCGCGCGTGGTGGCCAGCACCTGGCATTTGACAGTGGCTGCGCACCTCGTATTGCGATGATTCCAAGCCTCCCAACAATAGTCCGTTCCACGCGACGGCCGTGCTGCTGACGTGTCAGGTAAGATGTGCCCCACGTTTGTCAGGTGCGCTGGTGTCGCCAACCGCGCCTGATTTTACAAGGCGCGGAAGTGCGCCAAGCTCGCCAGTGCATGTGGCAGCGAACGACGGACAATATGCCAACACGCCCGCTGCCGCAGTAGAATCCCATGTACAAGCACTGTGAAGGTGCTGGCGTCCAGTCCAGTGTGTGCTCCCACGTGCACTGCGCGGTGTGCTTCGACAGGGATGGCTTGTTAGGGAGGGGGGGGGAATGTGTCGGGACGCGTCGCCGCGCCGCGGAGGCGGGGGGTGGGGGGGGGGGGGGCGATTGCGGGGGTTGGCGCGTCGGCAAGGGATCGGCCGTGCCTCGGGGTCCCAGCCCCCGAGATGGACAGAACCCCCCTTTAGCAAAACGCGGCTTAGTGAAAACGACCTCGGGCCCAAACCTGGCGGGCGCAAGCCTGGAAAATGACGGCCGCGGCGCCCTCTCGAGAACTGGAAACGGACAATTCATCAATCGACGTGTCAAGGTGGGGAGTCTGTCACCCCCCGATCTGTAGTGAGGACTGGCGGTAAGGACGCAAGGGCCCTGGACGCCGTAATTGGCACTTTTTGGGCGGCGGGCTGCCAACAACCCGAAGGGCTGGTCAGTGGAAACCGCGGAAGACAGGCCGCAGAGGCGAGGATGCAGGGCGAATTATTCTAAGGACAGCTGATCGTCCTTACTATGGGTGTTGACCGTTTTCTTTCTTCGGATGGGATAGCGACTGCAACACCCAGCCACGGAAGACGGGACGCGCTGGTACAGCGCCCGCATCGGACAACATGAACCGCTCCGCCGTCCCTGTCAGAGCGAATGCAGCGCGACGGTGGTGGCAGTGGCAGCATACAAATTTGACGGGGTGAGGCCGGGATAGCGGGGCGCTTCAGAGAGGGAGGAATGGGATGGGGCAGGAGAGAGACAGGGAAGGAACGAGAGGAGAGCGGCTGAGAGAGCGAGCGGAGGGAGGGGAGGGGGGATGGAGGGAGGTGGCCGAATCATGCAATCAGTTCAAACAGAGTCACCTGTGATCCTGGTATTCATCCAGGCAGTTTGTTCTTCCGCAGTGGTGACGAGAGCCTCCAGAAACACCCAGTCACGTCCGAAACGGCGGAGATGTTGACGCCGTGTGGTCGTCGTCATCATGGTTGTCGTCGTCGCCGTCGTCCGCCGCCGCCGCCGTCGTCGCCGCCGTCGGCGTCATTCATCATTCGTCATTCGTTACTCGTGATTTGTCATGCGACATTCGTCGTCGTCGTCGTCGTCCTCGTCGTCGTCGTCCTCGTCGTCGTTGTCGTCGTCTTTCGTCATCCGTCACTCGTCATTCGTCGCCGTCGCCGACGCCGAGGACGTCGCCGTCGCCGTCATCCATCGTCGTCGCCGCCGCCGCCGCCGTCCTCCGCCGCCGTTGCCGCCGCGTCGCCGCCTCGTCGCCGTCGCCGCCGCCGCCGCCGCCGCCGCCGTCGCCCTGCCCGAGAAGGCCTGGCTGCAGGCACTGGGCCACGTCTCGCAGGCACTCGGCGACCGCGAGCACGGCCCGGCGGGCAGGCCCCGCGCCCGCCTGCTCCTCGGCCACCGTGCGACGACGATGACGCTGACGACGGCGACGGCGACGGCGGCGACGACGACGGCGACGACGACGACGATGACGTCGATGGCGGCAGCGGCGGCGACGGCGGCGGCGACGGCGGCGTCGGCGGCGACGACGACGGCGACGGCAGCGACGATGACGATGACGTCAATGGCGGCGGCGGCGGCGACGGCGGCGGCGGCGGCGACGGCGGCGGCCGCGGCGGCGCCGACGACGCCAGCGTTGACGACGATAGGCTTGCTTTCTCCTCCTCCTCCTCCTCCTCATCTTCTCTGGGTGCGGCCGCTGGTGCAATGCGCACGCAGGCCTGAAAATTCGGATGCTGAGGCAACACGGCACCGTTAGGCCCATGGTGACCCGGAGAGCCGGGCATGTGCCGCGCAGTCGCACGGGGGAGACAATAGCTGCGAACGCACCGCCGACTGCAGGGCCCCTCTTCGATCCGCCACTCCTCCACTTGCTCCACCCCCATCGCCCATCCACCCCGTCACCCCATTTCGTGCGGCGCAGTATGTTTAGTTCGGCAATGTCCCCCTACAGGCGGATGTTGGGCGAAAGTTGAAAAAGTAGGAAAAAACAAAAATCTTCAAAAATGATAGAAATTGCATCCCCAAGCTATCTTTTTGACAATGTTTGAATGGCCCCCCTGAAGAGGGACACGCCAGACTTAACAGTATGTTGGAGATTGCAGAGGGAACGCCCTCCTCCACTTGGTCTACGCCAGGCACAGTCGCTCGTCCGCACTGGTGGTCGCTCGCTCAGTCGCCCATCCTTCACCCGTCCTCACTCCTCCATCCTCCCCGCATTCCTCGTTTCCTTCTCACCTTCTGCTCCCAGCGTTCATCCTGATGCTATGTGCCACTACGCCCGCATGCATGGAAAGTACGCCCCACCTCGGCGTCCTGAAAGCCTGCTCGCCTGATCGAAAGCGACTCATGGTGCAGGGGAAGGGGAGCTGAGTCGTTTTTGACGCTCCCGAGGCCCGGCGAAGGCCCCCAGAGGTAGAAAACTATCAAAAACAGCCGCTCCGATTTGTCACGGCGCGTCGGACCTCTGGGGCGTGGGGCGGAGGGGAAGGCATGGAACGCCCCCTTGGGGCACTGGCTCGATCCAAGCTGGCCATACGTCGGGCATGTCCTCCCACAGGCGGAGTTTAGACGATAGATGAATCATTGCCAAAAACTTGTTCAAAAGCGTCACACAACAAATCATCCCCAGACTACGCTCGACAAGGATAGAAAGGCTGCGCGGTAAGGATGCAGGGGCCTTGGAACGCCATGCTGGCGCTTTCCGTGCAGAGCGCAGCAGAATGCCGAAGGATGCCGAATACCGAAGAAAAAAGGATGCGATCGTACCCATGGTTGACTCTATTGCTTGCCCATGTTTTAGCCATCCTCCTGCAGAGGGGCACGCCCGACCCAAAACCGGCCTCAGTCCGCGCGGCCCGGGGCCGACCAGGGAGCGCCGGCTCCTGCAGGTGCGCTCCTCCGAGGAGGCGCGAGGCCCCGCGGCTCGCTCGCCCTGGTCGCCGCCGCCGCCACCGCCGCCTTCGACGCCGACGACGACGACGACGACGAAGCCGAGGCCGACGACGACGAGGCCGACGAGGCCGACGACGACGAGGCCGACGACGACGAGGCCGACGACGACGACGACGACGACGACGACGACGACGACGAGGCCGACGACGACGACGACGAGGCTGACCACGACGACGACGACGTCGAGGGGACGGCGGCGGAGGCGCGGGCGGGCGTGGGCCCGTCCTCGGGCAGCGGCCGCCTCGCGCGGCGCTCCAGCGCGTCCGCCAGGTGGACCTCGGTCAGCCCGGCGCCGAGCAGCACGGTGCCGCGCAGGGCCGACTCGTGCAGGCTGGGGAGTGCGGCGCTCTCTTTGGCCTCCGCCTCGGCCTCCGCCTCGGCCTCCTCCTCCTCCCCCTCCTCCTCCTCCTCCATCTCCTCCTCCATCTCCTCCTCCTCCTCCTTCTCCTTCTCCTCTTGACTACTACCTCCTCCTCCTCCTCCTCCTCCTCCTCCTTCTCCTTCCTCCTCCTCCTCCTCCTCCTCGAGCTCCTCCTCCTCCTCCTCCTCCTCCTCCTCCTCCTCCTCCTCCTCCTCCTCCTCCTCCTCCTCCATCTCCTCCTCATCCTCCTTCTCCTCCATTCTTTTTCCTTCAAAATTAACTTCTCCCCGTGGCACCCCGAGGCCGGTTTTTAGGGCAGGCTGGGTGTTTCGTCTGAGACTTTGTCACCATAAATGACCCTCAAGCTCAAACATTGACTACAGCTTCACAAATGGAGGGCGACCCGTTTTCAAAATGTGGCTCTCGCCTCAGCGCCGCGCACATTCTTCTTCAAACATTGCAAATTCACGGATTGAGGGCGACCTGTTTTCAAAATGTGGCTCTCCCTTAAGTCCCGCATACATTCGCTTTCAAACTGTTCAACCAGAATCTCACGGATTGAGGGCGAATATTTTTCAAAATGTGGCTCTCGCCATAGCGCCGCGCACATTCGTTGTTTTACAGTTGCAAGAGTTTCACGGGTTCTCATGAGCAGCGTACCAGAAACTGTGTGTTGGAAGGAGTCTGGATTATGAGGGTGCAACAATTACGTTGATTCGCGGTGTTGATGTCGCAGGAATGGCGTTCTGGCACGATTCAGGACCGTCACCGCACGGTTCTGGCACGATTCAGGACCGGCGTTGGAATCCAGAGAACAATGTGTTGGCATGCTTCAGGGTCTACAAACGGTTGTATTCCAACGAGGCAATTCTCTCAGTGAGCATTATCCGTTGTAGGGGCCTATGAAGAGGGAGCTTGGAGGGAGGGTTGGTGACTCCTGGGTTTGCACTTGTCCTCCTCCTCCTCTTCCTCCTCCTCCTCCTCATCATCATCATCATCGTCGTCGTCGTCGTCGTCATCATCATCATCAACATCATCATCTTCCTTCCTCCTACTCCTCCTCCACTTGCCTACTACCCCCTCCGCCTCCTCCTCCTCCGCCTCCTCTCCTCCTCCTGCTCCTCCTCCTGTCTGCTCCTCCTCCTTCTCCTCCTCCTCCTCCTTCTCCTCCTCCTCCCCTCATAGTCTCCTCCTCCTCCTAGTCTCCTCCTCCTCCAACTCCCCCCCCTCATCCAACTCCGCCTCCTCAGCCGCCTCCTCGGACTTCTCCTCGGACGTGTCCCGAGATCCTGGCGTTGCCGTTTCTCTTCGAACGGCTGTTGTCGCACCGCTTTGGGCCCCGCCGCCCCCGAGAGATGGCGCAGAACGGTGGGGGTGTCTGGGGCTCCGGTCGTCATGTGCTGCGATGATGTGGTTGCTTCGCTACGTCGGATCTCAGTGTGGCCTCCGCCTCCTCCTCCTCCTCCTCCTCCTCGGACGCGGTCGCAGCGCAGCGCTCGTAGGTCTCACGCAGCCGCCGCGGGGAGGGGGCCATCCAACGACCCTGCTGTCAAAAAACTGAGCCCAGGCTCTCGGCTCGCTTCGCCTCCTCCGCTCCACCCTCACTTGGCCCCTTCGCGCCGAGGGCAGGCTCGGCGGCCTCTCTCGCTCGGCAGATCTGATGGGCCTGTCTTCCACCACCACCATAAGTTGGAGGGGGAGGGGGTCCTACTCCTGCTCCTCCTCCTCCTCCTCATCCTCCTCCTCCTCCTCCTCTTCGACCTACTTCTCGTCCTCCTCGTCCTCCTTCTTCCCCCCTCCAACTTGTGGTGGTGGTGGTGGGAAACAGGCCCATCAAGATCCCTCCGCAATGGCGGCGTTCAACCGCCACGCCCGCACTGGGGTCGACGCCGCGCGCGTCGATACAGCACGAACCTTCCGCACTGCATGCGGACTGGATTGGAGAGGCCACGCGAGAGGACAGAATACCCTCTCCGAGGGGCACACTGCCATGGGAATGCAGGAGGCATGGGTCGCGAGGCACAAGACACAAGGGTACCCTTGACTTGGCAGGGTCGACCTACTAATCGGGGCCGGTACATGTGTCCAGGGGCTTCGATCGCTCGTGCCGTCGACGAGGCCCCGCGGCGAAGGAGCGCAAGGACCGCCCCTGAGCTGTCCACCGCAGTTGCCTCAGACGGCTTTCGCGGGGGTGCGGAGGTCGATACCAAGGTCCATGCAGTGCTCCAAACTCGCTCCAGCCTGCGGGCCGCAGCCCCTGATCCAAACCCAGGGTGAAACAAGACCCTACTGGCCGCACCGGTCGGGGGTCCTCTGACCCGGGTCAATCCAAACCCGGGTCAGTCAGGCCTTGCAGAATCCTGCAAAATCCTGCAAGATCCTGCACCCAAACCCGGGTCAATGCGAAGGATCCTGCAAGATCCTGCAGGATCCTGCACCCAAACCCGGGTCAATGCGGCCCTGGCCCTGCAGGATCCTGCAAGGTCGGGGCGCTCTGGCTGACCCCCGTTTGCGTTGACCCCCGTCTCAAGGCTCCCGAACCGGGCCGCCTTCGCGCTGCCGGGCCACGGCGCTGTGCAGAGACAGAGGATGCGGAGGCTGACTTTCGCAGGGGGGGGGCTTGCATTCGTCCCAGCGCCGTCCTGCGGACTGCCTGCGGGACGCAACGCTTGAGCTCGGCCAGCGCGTGCTCATCGGGCGCGCCGACGAGCAGCGTCATCACCCTCGCTGGCTCCGATGGCGGTCTCCTCAGCGACAGGGGCTCGCGCACTCAGCCCGCAGAGTATCCCGGCCGGCGATCGAAAAGCAATCTACAAGACTGCGAAGGGGACAGCCGCCATTCGAGTTGGCAGAACTTGAAAACAAACAGGGAAACGATCCCGAGGCTTAGTGGGGGAACAATCGGAGCAGGGGTGCTCAGCCCCCTCTCTGCTCTCGGAATTGGAATGGGAATTCACGAGGAGTGGGAGACGTGGTCGGGTCGGATCGATGAACGGCTGTCTGCTCTGAGGTGCACGGGTGATCACAACCCATAATCTTGATTGGCAAGTGCTGTTGCCACTGAGGCGCTCGCCCGCACTGCCCTGGTCTGTTGCTGGCAGGCGGAGAGATGATCGTGTAGGTCCTCTCGCAGATCGTCCTCGACTCGATGGGGCCAATCACGCCGACCACCTGGCAGGGAGCCGCGCGGATGACGATGATACGTTGCTACCGATGCCCCCAGCAACAAGCAAACACAACAAATGTATTGACGCATCCATGTCTACGCCAACGAGAGGATAGAAAAGCGCGGGCACAAGGTCGGAAGGAGGCAGGGGGGGCGGCAGTCGTGGCCCTGGTGATTGCTCGTTGTTAGAGGCTTCAGGCAGTAAGGCTGCCTCCTGAGGGAGTCCTAGAGGATACTTGCGGACTTGGTCAAATTTGGCACAAGACGACTCCAAAAGTGTCTCGGATAGCTCATATGTGCTTCCAGGATGGATCCACCACCGTGCCTCCTGGCACGCTGGGGCGTGCTGGAATGACAAGTGCTGCCTGGGAGGGTGTCTGTGATATTCCAAGTCCCTCCCCCCCTCTATTCACACCAACCTCTGCGCATCGCCCCCTCTCCCTAGACCACAATCCGTTGCAAAATATGAAGGTTCCCGCTCCCGAGACCCAGATACGCCTCCAAGACGGCCAAAGATGGCCACGTTGACCTCCCAAGATGGCCTCAAGACGGCCCACGAGGCCTTCAAGGCGCCCCAAGAGAGTCCGAAGAAGCTTCCCAAGAGGGCCTCGAGGGGCAACATTCAATGAGGTTCCGCAAATATTCAATGTGTTTCGGGTGTTCATCTGTTCGAGCTTCCAGCATCCCAAGACGACCCCAGACACACTCGAGGCTGCCCCAAGACGGCCCCAGAGACCCGCAAGCGGGCCCCCAGATGGCCCGAGAGGGCTCCGAGACAGCAACAGAGGCGGCTAAGACTGCCCAAGAAAGCCCCAAGACGGCCCCGACAAGGGGGAACACGAACCGAGAATTCGAGCCCTCCGCCCCAAGAAACCCACAGCAGGCCCCAGGAGGCCCAAAAGACACGGCCAAGAGGACTTCGAGATGGCGCCGAGAGGCAAAACACATGTGCGTCCCTAGTTCGTTCAGCGTTCTTAAGATTGTCGCCTGTTCGAGCTTCCGAAGCTCCGCGAGCCCCCCAAGAGAGCGCCAAGATGGCCCAAGAGAACTCTAAACCGGTCTCCGAAGAACCACGAGGGGGAAACACGAACCGAGAATTCGAACCGTCCGCCCCAAGAGGCCTCCAGGAGGCCCAACAGAGGCACCCAGGAGTCCCCCAGGAGGGCCCCGAGAGGCAACAATCAGAAGGAGCCCCCTTTCCCAAACAACTGCGCCAAGAATCCCCAACATGGGGCAAGAGAGCTCCGAAGCAACCCAAAAAACGCCGAAGGCTGCCAAAGGGGGGCAACAGGAGCAGAGAAATCGAGCCGTCCGCCCAAAGAGGCCCCTAAGAGGCCTCAAGATATATAAACTAGGCCGCAACGAGGCCCCAAAACGGCTACAAAACTGCCCAAATGGGGTTCATGGGAGCCCATCACGTGAAGACGAACTGTGCCACATGTGAGGGCGTCCCTCCTGCTCCTACACCTCCTCGTATTCGTCTCATTATTGTTATTCTTATTCTTCCTAAACCGCATCCTCCTCATCTTCCTCCTCCCCAGTATCATCACCATCAGCAGTAACAGCAGCATCATCAGCATGATCGCCATCATCATGAACAGCATGATAACCAGCAGAAGCAGTTGCATCGACAGCAATCTCAAAACCAGCATCAACACCACCATCATCATCGTCCCCAGCACAAGCATCACAATCCTAATCATCATCATCATCATCGCCGTCATCATCATCATCATCATCATCATCATCATCATCATCGCCGTCATCATCACCATCATCAGCATCAGCGTCACCATCACCATCAGCATCACAAGCACGAGCAACAGCATCTGCATCATCAGCGACATGAGTATCAGCATCAACAGCATCAGCATCATTATCATTAGCATCATCATCATCATCATCATCATCATCATCACCATCCTCATCATCAAACGAGTCAGAACCACCATCAGCAACACCAGTATCATTACCAGCATTACTCTCATCACCATGATCACCATCGTCATCAACAGCAACAGCATCAGCATCAGCGTCGTCATCATCGTCATGCTCATCATCATGACAATCAGCAGCATCATCAGCATCATCAAACTCATCATCACCATCATCACCAGCATGATCAACATCATCATCGCCTTCTTCATCATCACCCTCATCACCAACAACAACACCATCATCATTCATAATATTACGACTAACAGTAGCATCATCATCAGTATCATCATCCGCCTCGTCAGCATAATCGTCGTCCTCCTCTATATCATCATTGCCAACAACATAATCATCACCACCACCATTATCATCACCAACATCACCATCGCCGACATCATACTCATCATCATCATCGTCATCATCATCATCATCATCAACATCATCAACATCATTCCCATCACCGTCCTCGCCCTCCTCATCAGCCTCGTCGTCATCATCACCACTGCCCCTGACGGGCTCACATACTTCTAACACACACCAAACATCCAAGACAGCCGAGGTGTCACACGTGACGGCGTCAAGCACCTTGCTCCCAGAAACCTCCAAGACGGCCCTACAAAGAGCACGCCACATGTTACGGGTCTCCGAAAACTTGAGATACAAGATGTCACGCGATCCCAGTTCTCCATCGCGCACAGAACCACCGAGAAAGCTGGGCTTGCACGGTGGCGGGGCGTGCCATCTTTTTAGATGTATATACACAAGACTTCAGTGGCGCTTCGCGCCATGTACCTTGGTCCTTGAAGTGTGGTATGCAGGCGGACTAGCAGGAAGGTCAAGCCGACAATTTAGCGATAACTCCTTGTTGCCTTTTCCGGAATCGCCGCTTTAATAATGTTATTCGTTATCCTTCCTCCATGCTTCTTTTTCCTCATTTTCACCATGCCCTGCGCATCCTCCCCATCCTGCTCAGCTCTTTTTGCAGAGGCTCCTCCTTGGAGAGCCTCTGGGGGCCTCACAAAAGTTGTTTCAGGCTTTCTAAAGGCCTTCTGGAGGCCTCCTGGGCGTGATCTGGGGGCCTCTGTGGGCTTCCTCGGGCCAACCTGCCTCCAACCGCGGACTCCCTAAGCGACCGGGTCACGATTTGGAATGCTTCGGAGGGTGTCTTGGGGCCATCTTGGGCCGCCATATGGGCTCTCTGAGGGCCATCTTGGACCCCTGCTGTGCCGTTTTGGGGCTCTCTTGGACTGCCTGGAAGCCCTTTCGGATGGTTGTGGGGCGTTTTGGGAGCCTCCCAGGCGGCTTCGGACGCCCAAAGACCACCGTCCCAAAAATTCCCCAAAAACCAACTAAAAAATAGTTTTGCCTCTTGGGGCCTTCATGGGAGTGCTCTTGGAGGCCTCTTGGGACGTTTCGGGACGATCTTTGGGGGTCTGACAGCTTCCTGGGGGTCGTCGTGGACCGTATTGGGGCTCTCTGGGGTCGTTTCGGGAGCGCATCACGCCCTACGAGGCCGGAGGTGTCGTTGGATGCCCGTCCGGAGGGTCCCAAAGCCCCAGATCCCGGGAGGCGCGTCTGGGGGGGGGGGAGGGGTCTCCCCGCCCAGGCATTTAAAGATATAGGAGTAGGAAAATGTGCATATATATATATATATATATATGTGCATGTATATATATATAGAGAGAGATAGAAAACAAAATGAGGAACAACAGTAGTGTCAATACATGTATGCGAATATGTATATATATACACGCGCGCTTCGCGCGCGCTTGAGTTCTAGCAAGCTCTAAGTGCAATCTACAATGTTCAACATCAGAGGACACATATTGTCGCACGGATCGTGTCTCTCAAAGGGCTCCACCTGCGGCCCCAGACACAGGCTTGGCTCAGCGTCCCCCTGCCCATGTCGGCACAACCCTCACACGGATCGCGCCCCATAGGGAGCTCCACCTACGCGCTCAGAGAAAAGCTTAGTACAATGGCACGCCCCTCACGCGGATTGTGCCCCGCAAGTGACTGCTTTTGTTGTACAAGAGGGAAGCATCATAGCGTCGCCCAGCTAGCTCACTTAAGCACACCTCTCAAACGGACCGTGGCCCGCAGACAATTCCACGGACGGCCCCAGAGACAAGGTTCGCATCCCGATCCCCACGTCTACTTCGGCACACCTCTCACACAGATCATGGCCCACAAGGATCTCCACCTACGGCCGCAAAGGCAAGGTTCGCACTGCGCCCTCCCCCTGGTCATTTTGGCACACCCCATCACGCGGATCGTGCCCACAAGGAGCACCACCCAAACGCCCAGAGACAAGGTTTCTACCGCAATGCCCCGCCAATGCCGGCACACTTGTCACGCGAAGCATGCCCCAGGAGGAGCTCCGAATATGGCATCAATGGGCAGCTTCGCATGGTGTCCCCCAGCCCATTTCGGAACTTGCCTCGCACGGGTTGTGCCTGGAGGAAGTCCACATGCGGCCTCAGCGGGCGTGTTCGCGCGGGGCCATTCGATTTACTCGGCACACCCTTCACGCAGATCGTGTCTCACGAGAGATTCGGCGCATCGTGCACGCGTGCTCCGCTGAAGCCATCTTTCCGAGTTGCCCCGCGGCGCGCAGTGTGTAAAAGAGACCCGCGCCCTGCGCTACACATGACCGCGTGGGGACAGGTCTGTCGCCAAGCCAATTGCTTGCTTACGAGGCGGAGCACTTCTGGCCTCCTTGGGCTCTCTGGAGGCGCATACTGGAGCTTTCTTAGGATGTCTTCAAGGTCTCTTGATGAGCAGGCTCATTCGGGCGTCTTCGGCCCTGCCAGGCCACTCTGGTCGCCTTTCGGCAGCCTCCGAAGATGTTTGAGCGACGGAAGGTGAGCCTGGGAGACCCCGCAATGGGTCAACACTGTCGGGCCAAAAGGGGTGGTGATCCAGGAGGATGTCCCGTACCCCAGCGTATCTGTATGTTTTGTTACCGAGGGGCACAAATATATTACTATACACATACCTATACGACCGCGCTGCGGGCGATAAGGAGGTTGGGGGGGATTGAGATCAAATGTCCACCCAGACTGGATTGGATTAGATGGGATCAGATGGATTGGAAAAGATAAGATTTGTTGGATTGGAAGACATGGATTGGATTAGATGAGATGGATTGGATTGGCCCGCCGCAGGCGCAGAAACAAATAAATTAATGGATTGGGTTGGGTGGATTGGATTGGGTGGGATAATATAAGATGGGACAAAATGGGTTGGATAAGATAAGATGGATTGGATTGGACAAGGTGGATTGGAGAAGATAAGCTGGATTGAATGAGAAAGCCCGCCGCAAGCGCCGAAAAACATGAATTATGAAATTAGCGACATGCGTTAGCCCCGGGACGCCCGGGACACCTGGGACGCCCGGGACACCGCCCGGCCCAACTGGGACACCTCCCGGCCACCGGCGGACGGGAAACGGACTTTCGCTCCTACTGACACCCGGGACACCCAGGACACCGCCCGGCCCAACTGGGACACCTCCCAGCCACCAGCGGACGGGAACGGACTTTCGCTCCAACTTCGGCCTAGCTACAGGAGGATCCCGCGTAACTTCGCCTCGCCCACACACATGACACGAACACGAAACCGAAACCGATTTCCCGGTGGGGGGTCTCCGTTTCACTGCGATCTCACCCCCCAACCTCCGATATTATACATCGGTATGCAGTCGGCGTGTGTTGAGGCCAGCCGAATAAACTGGGGGGGCTGTCCGTGCGCGTCCCGAGGAGTTACCACCCCCGACACATGCGGGGCTCACAAACCCCAAAGCCGTTCAAAATCCGTCTCAAGACCCCTCCCGGGGTCTACCCTGACCCGTTTCTGTTCGCGGATCCAGCCGTAGCGGCCAGAAGATCCTAGGCGGGCCAGAACCAGGCGAAGAAACGCCAGGACGGGCCCTCGTTGTCTCGACTGGCCCTCCTCCGATGTGAGAGCCCCAGCCCAGATGCGGGCCTGCTCCCACCGCTGGGGTAGCGCCGCCAGGGAGGTCACCGGCACCGCGCCGCTCAGGCGCCGCAGGTGGCCAACGTGGCGCAGCGACAGGCGCGAGAGGACCGAGACGCCTGCGCCCCGCAGTGCGAGCTCGGGTGCGCAGCAGCTCCTCCTCCTCCTCCTCCTCCTCCTCCTCCTCCTCCTCCTCCTCCTCCTCCTCCTCCTCCTCCGCAGTGCGAGTGGAGGCTGGGAGGGGGCAGCAGCTCCTCCTCCTCCTCCTTCCCTCCTCCTCCTCATCCTCCCCCTCCTCCTCCTCCGGCTCCTTCTCCTCCTCCTCCTGCTCCTCCTCCTCATCATCATCTGCTCGCCTCGTCTCCGTCGTCGTCGTCGCTGCCGTCGGCGTCGTCGTGATCGTGATGCGTGTTGCTCTGCTAGGGACTTGTTTCCCTTATGCAGTGACCACCACAACCACCTCCTCCTCCTCCTTCTAACCTCCTTCTCCTCCTCATCCTACACCTCCTCCCCCTCCATCTTCCCCCTCCCTCCTCCTCCTCCTCCTCCTCCTCCTCCTTCTCCTCCTCCTCCTTCTCCTCTTCCTCCTCCGTTTCCTCGTCCTCCTCCTGCTCCTCCTGCTCCTCGTCCTCCTCCTCCTCCTCCTCCTTCTCGTCCATCCTCCTCCTCATCCGCCTCCTCCTTCTCCTTCTCCGTCCTCTTCCTCCTCCTCCTCCTCCTCGTCCTCCACCTCATCCTCCTACTGCCCCAACTCATGCTCCGCCTCCTGCTCTTGCTCCTCCTGCTCCTCCTACCCTCCTGCTCCGCCTCCTCCCCCTTCTCCTCCTGCATCTCCTCCTCCTCCTCCTTCTCCACCTCCTCCTCCTCCGTCCCTCCTCGTCCTCCGTCCTCCGTCCTCGGTCCTCCGTCATCCGTCCTCCTTCTGCTCCTCTTCCTCATTCTCCTCCTCCTCATCATCATCATCAGAAACAGCATCATCATAATCGTCATCATCATCATCATCATCATCATCATCATCATCATCATCATCATCATCAGCATCATCATCATCATCCTCATCATCATCATCATCACCACTACCACCATCAGTATCAGCATCATCATCAGCAGCAGCAGCAGTATCATCATCACCACCACCATAATCATCATCATCAGCAACAGCATCACCATCATCATCATCATCATCAGCAGCAGCATCATCAGCGGCAGCAGCAGTATCAGCATCATCATCATCATCGTCGTCATCATCATCATCACCAACATCATCATACACATGATGATGGTCGTACTGATGCTCATCAGCATCGCATCATCGTGCTGTGATGATGATGCTGGTGATGATGCTGGTGGTGATGATGACGATGCTATGGATCATCATCATCACCATCATCATCAGCATCATCACCACCATCGTCGTCAGCATCATCACCACTACCACCACCATCCGCAGCATCATCAGCATCATCATCATAAGCATCAGCATCATGATCATAATCAGCATCAGCATCAGCATCATCATCAACATCATCATCATCAGAATCATCATCAGGATCATCATCATCATCATCATCTCCATCATCATCACCTTCATCATCATCATCATCATCCTCATCATCATCATCATCATCATCATCATCATCATCATCATGTTACTCATGATCATCACCACAATTAGTAGCAGCGGTAGCAGCATCCACACCCTCATCATCAGTTTTACCATCATCACCAGCATCCTCCTCATCATCAGCATCATCAACATAATCATTAGCAGCAACAGCACCTTCATCATCAGTTAACTCATCATCATTCTCACCACCATCATCATCATCAGCACCAGCCTCAACAGCTTCATCATCACCAGTATCAACAGCAGCATCAGCATGAACGTCCGCCTCCGAATCACTATCATCATCAATCCTCATCATCCTCAGCAGCATTAGCAGCATCAGCATCATCATCATATTCACCGTCATCAACATTATCAGCATCAGCAGCAGCAGTATCGGCATCATCATCAACATCATTATCAACAGCAGCATCAGCATAATCCTGATCATCAGCAGCATCAGCATCGTCGTCATCATCATCATCATCATCAGCATCATTAACATCACCATCATCAGAACGGTCGTCGTCGTCATCGTCAGCAGCAGCAACAGCTGCTTCGTCCTCCTCCTCCTTCTCCTCCGCCTCCTGCTCCAGTGAAGCTGCTCAGCGGCCCCGTCGTCCAGAAAGATGTTCGGCTCACTGGCTTCTGCCACCGTTGTGGTCTGTGCTCCCCCGAGGTGGCTCCGGTGCGTGCAAAGTGGCCACCTCGCGCGACTCCCTCTGGACCCTGCGGCCACCAGCCAGCACCGCGCGCGAGGGCGCGAGGTGCTGCAGGCTCTGAGCGCGGCTCCCTCCTGTGCCTCCCTCCGCGGCCGCTATCCTTCGTTTCCAGTGGTGCCGTTGCGCACTGAGCTCGGCGGCGTCGCAGCTGTTGCGCTCCGACGCGTGACGTGCCACGTCGCCGCTGACGAAGGGAGCGTTTCCCCGCGAGTTTCCACAGCGGCTGGAGGAGCGCTTAGTCCAAGGGCTCGGCCAAGCTTTGTCCCGACGTTGGCCACGCATGGGCGTTTCCAAAGGGCGGCAGGCGGCAGTGGTTCGCCGTAGGGATCTTCAATCAGTAGCCCGCGTAGCCTGCCTGGTGGGCAGTTGGCGTGCCAGGGACTCTACAGCCAACCCGTATGAGGACGCGCTATAGGGTGCAAGGGCCTTGGAAGGCCATGCCGACGCCTTACAGGCGGGGCGCGGCCAGCGAAAGCGGCCAGGGATGGGCAAAAGGAGAAGGATGCAATGGTAAACTTGGAAAGTTGCTCATACTTACAATGCGGGTTGATTGTACCTCGTGCTGGCCCTTCCGAAAGGTTCACGGTGGCCTCTGGCCCAGCCCGCTGGCCCCACAGGAGGGGTGGTCCACATGGGCTTCTTCGTCCTGGACGGCCCAGATGGCTCCCGATAGCCTCCAAGACAGCCAAGACGGCCTCCAAGTCGGACAACGTGAACCTGCGTGGCCTCCACAAAGGCCCAAGACGGCCCTCGATGGCACCAAGATGGCTCTCAGGATGGCTCTCAAGATGGCTCAAGGCGGCCCGGGACCCAGACATCCGACGATGAGACCTTTTCAGCTTGCGGCCCCAGGGGTCCCGCCCCCTTACCCTGGATCGTTTTTTCGCCCCAGGGCTCAATGTGACAGCCCCGACCCCCGAAAATGGGCCCCAGAGGCCGAAGGCGCGGAGATCTGGGGAGGCGCCCCATGATGACACCCCAAATCGGGGGCGTCCAAGGGGGGAGGGCACCGCGTCCAAGAGGGGGGGTCGCAGGTCATAGCACGAGGCACGTGCGTGGACCAGTGGGCGCCAAAAGGGACGCGGCCCCCGCCGTGAAA